GCAGCATCTGTTAGCTGAAATATGTCAATTGGTATACCATCTATTCCTGGAGCCTTATTTTTTGCTATTTCCTTCAAAGCAGCTTGAACTTCTGCTTTTATCACCATAGGCTCTGGCTCAAATGCTATTTCATTAAATTCTTCTGTATCTGCCAATTCCTTTCGGTACAATATACTTCATTTTAAAAGCTTTCTCTCTGTTCCAGTTTACCTTCTCAGGCTAGATTTCTAGATACAGAATGACTGGCTGTGGGTTTTCTGAGACTAGATGAAGATTTCAAACTTGTTGGCTAAAGCTATAGCTTTCAGTTTATAGTTTGACCTATTTTCTTATCACGGTTCTGTATGTGGTTGACTCTGACTCTGGTTTTGTGCAGCATGAGTCACTTTTTCTAAGGGCTCTGGGAGTCTCTATAGTACAGTGCTTTTAGTAGTAGAATTGGGACCATCCCAGATAGATTGGGGCTGTATAACTCATACAGTTGTGTAAGGTGGATTTGCTCTTGTCCTCTATCCAATTTTGAGATTGCATTAAAATGTCTTAGTTGTCATTATTTTTTCCCCCATTGAAATGGCCTTTTATTTGCTCACCATTTCAAAAGATCTATGTGCTCTTTCTTTTGGATTTATTGAAATTATTTATAAAGCAAAGTAAATATTTTAAAAATTTGTTGGTTTGGTTTTTTGTGATTTTTTAAAATGTGATTATTGTTGGTTTTTTTCCAAAAATAAAAAAAGTATTTATTTCTTGTAAAAAAAAGTGTATGGCATCCAAGAAAGATAAAGGGTAGAAGCAGAAGGGTTAGGGTAGTTGGGATGAAATGACAGGGTTACACAATTTGGTGGATGGAGGGAGTAGGCAAAGGAAATGTGAAAGATCCAACAGGTCTGAAAAGACAGGGTAATGATGGCATAGTCTAAGGGTGATTTCCTTTTTTTAACAAAGAGATTCTCTTTTTTTATTTGTGGGTTTCCCATTTGAGAATAGGGGCACAGACTCTCTGGCTGCTTCATGCTGGACAGGGTCGTTGAAATAAAGGGGAAGGGGAGCTCACTTTAATACTTTACTGTTGGTCTTGATTTGAAGCTGCATGCCTTCTTGTATAGTTAGATGATATTTTCTATCCTCTGGACTGCAAGGTGTTTGTGTAGGTGAGTCCAGTAGAAATGGCTGGCTGAACTTTGGTGGTCCATCCACCTTGCTTCCTTAGCTGGCAGTTATATTCCACTTTTGTCTCTGGAACCAGGCTCAGGGTTTAGGTTCTGAAACAAGACTCTGTGTTCAGGTTACCTATGGGAAAAGGAGCAAACCTAGAGAGAACAAACATAAGAGTTACAAAGAAAAGAGCTTTGGAGGTGCTACTTACAGATCTACTGGAGGAGGAGATGAAGGAAAGTGGCTTAGATAAAGTTCCTCATACACACCAGGAGGCTCTCCCCAGGGCCAGGTGGTCCTCCGCAGGGGCTGGGCAGCTCTCCCTAGGGGCCAGTGTTTTTTGTTGATTTTTTTTTAAATGCTGCTTTGACATTTTAAAGGTTTTCAATCTAAAAAGTATATAACTATTTTTCTTTTTTAAATTTTATTCTGATTTATTTACAAAGTCTGAATACATTGTTTTTGATTAAAAATCCTTCCCATTTCCTTCACCCCACCCACCCATCAAATTGTACAACCTTATGGTTAAACACCCTACCCCCCATCCCCAACCCTCTGTTGCCACCCCCCACTCCCACCTTGGATCCTCATACTTATTCTACTATAATGGGTTTTTTTTTTTGTTTTTTTCAAGCATCGTAATGTTTATTGATAGATACAAGTATATAAAATCAGGGCATGAACATGACTTGATAAATTAAGTAGACTTAATTTCAATACTATAATAAGAGGGACCAATTAAAATTCTCACCATTTGTTTCACACCCACAAGAACCACTTCAAGGGCATTAATGATCTCGCAAAACTGATCAGTTTTGTGCAAGTAAACCATGTTTCTTTTAAAAAGACTTGTGCACTTGCCCAGGCTCAAGGATATTAAAATTTTAGCATTACTAGACGTAGAAATACAGGCAATATACTATTACGGCAACAACCATCAATTACAGTTAAGAATTTTTCTGTAACAACCAAATGGATAAATATTGCAACAACTCAAGTATTACTGAGCAAAGTGCATTTCTACAGTATTCAGTGTTGCTATTCAGTTTTCTAACTTAAAAGAGCCTATGATAACTGGCAGCAAAGAAGGTCCTTGCAATAGACTGCTTTTGCTTGAGAACTTACTATGTAATTATTGCATGCTGCTAATATACTATCTAAACATTAAAGATACTCCTAAAATATTTGATGGTAGACTATGATTAAGACATTACACTACAAAAAAAAACAACTTTTTCAACAAAGCAAGGTCAATATGCAGAAGATGCTTCCAGAAATTGATCAGAATAAAGACTGTATGCTGGAGATTCTGGAAGGAAAGGGACTGAGTTTCTTATTCCCACTCCTCAAACTAGAGAAAGAACTATTAAAGCAAATAAAGCTGGATCCATCCCCTCAAACCATATACAAATGGATTAAAGATAATATTTCTCCCAAACTTCATGTAGATAAAGGATTTGTGAACATTCTAATGATCAGCTTCTTACAATATATTTCTAGTGAAGTAAACCCACCCAGTGATGAAACAGATTCTTCCTCTACTGCTTCCAAAGAACAAGTAGAGCAGAAAAAACAACTGCTGCTTTCTTTCAAGCCAGTAATGCAGAAATTCCTACATGATCATGTTGATCAAGTCAGTGCCCTGTATGCTCTACAGGTCCACTGTTTCAACAGCAACTTCCCAAAAAGGCATGTTACTTCACTTTTTTGTTTACTTTTACGACATGGAAATTATTGAAGAAGAAGCTTTTTTGGCTTGGAAAGAAGATATAACCCAAGAATTTCTGGGGAAAGGCAAGGCTTTGTTCCAGGTGAATCAGTGGCTAACCTGGCTAGAAACTGCTGAAGAAGAGGAATCAGAGGAAGAAGCTGACTAAAGAACCAGCCAAAGCAGCCTTAAATTGTGCAAAACATACTGTTGCTATGATGTAACTGCATTTGACCTAACCACTGGGAAAAAATCCATTCCGCTGTAATGTTTTCACAATATTTAAAGCGGAAGTACTATAATGGTTTTATACCGTATTTGTCCTTGTTTGACTGAGTTAGTTCACTCAGCATAGAGCTCTCCAGTCCCTCCCAAATTAGGAAGTAATTTATAAAATGATTGCTTCTGCATGCTGTACAGTATCCCATTATATGAATATACTACAACTTCTCAATCCGTTCATTTTTGTTCGGATATCTAGGCTGTTTCCTTGTTCTTGTAATGGTGAATAATGCTGGTATGAACACTGATGTACAAGTTTCCATTTGAGCCTCAGTTCTCATTTTCTTGGGCTATATTCCACGCTGTGGAATAGCTGGGTTATAATGGAATTTCTTTGTTCAGCTTTTTGAGAGGGAAAAAAATAGGAAGAATAATAAAAAAAAAGAAAAAAGTGAAAGCTTTAGCAAGAATGTAAGCAGTCAGTTGTCAAATGTTTTTATGTTATTAAATCAGCAATATAAAATATAGGTATATATCTATATAGACCTCTTTCCTTTTAGATTTCCTTCATCATTTTGTACTTTTTTTTTTTTTATTGTTGGGTGCTGTCAAGTCAGTATGACTCAAAGTGACTCTGTGGGTGTGCATACATCAGTTTGAGTCATGGCTCTGGTTTCTCTAGGGTATGTTCCCAGTAGTAGAATTGCTGGGTCAAATGGTATTTCTATTTCTAACTTTCTGAAAAGCACCAGACCCCTTCCACAGTAGTTGTACCATTTCAAATTCCCACCAGCAATGAATAAGAGTTCTAATCTCTCCACAACCTCCCCTGTGTTTGTTGTTTGAACTTTGCAATTGTTTCTGGGAACAGTGACCCTATGAACAAGATATCTCAACCTTGCTCTATCCTGTGCCATCTTCATCATCTCTAATTTCTTATGCCCATTGTTACAGTCACAGTGTCATCCATCTGACTGAGGCTTTTAGTGCCTCCTTATTCTGATGTTTAGTGAACTTCCCATTTTTCAATTGGGTTGTTTACCTTTATCTTGTGGTGCTTATGTATTTTATAAATTCTAGATATAAGTCCATTGTCTGACATGTCATTACCAAATATATTTTTCCCATATGTGGCTTCCCTTTTTACCCTATTGGAGAAGTTGTTGTTTTTGTTTTTCTTTTTCATTATCTTTATTTTATATTGATGGAGAAGTTTTTTATGTGCATAGGGATTTGATTCTTAGAAGGTCTCATTCATCTATTTTATCCTCTCCTGGTTGTAGATTTTCCAGGATGCTTGGAAGACTGTTTATGTTGTGGATTAGGATGTCTAGAGTTCTTCCAAGTTTGTCTTTAATGAAGTTTATAGTCCTTGGTTTTAATGTTTAATATTTTTATAGCTTTCTTTTTGGATACTTAAAAGCCCAAACTTCAAAGCCTGGTGTGCAGATATAAGACACAGGATACTAGATTCTTTTTCTATATTTCTCTTGATTATTCTTCTCCAATTTCACTAAAACAAAATATTACTAATCCTTCAACTTAGTTAAAATTTTCCCTGTAGAGCCCCTGTGTAGTAGTGCTCAAGATCATTGTCCTTCTTAAGATTCATCTTGTTTTTTTTTAAAAAAGGAATTCCTGTATATTTATTATTTTTTCTCTCTACTTTGTGCCAGTTTCTTTTTAAAGTGAAAAAAATCTTTTGTAAAATTTATTTTTTTTAAAAAATGAAATAAACATCATTCATATTTTGTAGATCTTTAGTTTATTTCATGAGTTCTGAAAAATTTAAAGTTGACCTTTTTTGCTGGTGTTTTTAATACTCTCCTTGAAGAGTGGGTTTTCAGAGACCGCTCTGCCATTCCAGAAGTACTCTTTTTCATAAAAATCTCTTAAGATGAACAAAAAACCCCCTAGAATTGTTTAGCTGTAGGACATGGAAATAGAAATTTTATTAGAAGCCACAAAATTAAAACTAATTTATATTTCCAAGTTGTTCTAAAAAAATACCATTTCCTTTCAATTCTTTCCAGTACTTGAGTTTTAGACATTCATTTTGCCAATTTAGTGGTTGAAAATTGTATCTCCTTACTTTAATTTGCATATAATGTATTATTAGTGTTATATAGTACCTTTTAATTTAAATGTTGGATTAAAATTTTCTCCTTTAAATTGCTTATTTATATATACATTTTCATTGCAAATATAGTTTTGATAGGCTGTAAGATATGAAAATATATTTTTAGCCTTTGTTAGTTTTGAGTTTGTTTTTTAAAGCATAATTTTTAAAAATTGCTTTAAAATTAATTATATGAATTTCATTTAAATGTAAAATTACAAAGTAATCAGAGATTTTATTTAAGTAATTAATGAGAGAATTGGTAAAGTATGAAAACTGATTCAGAGAAGAGTCTGAAGAAATATTAGAAGTAGCTAACATTTAAAAACTAATCAGGCACAAGGCAAAAATCAAATTACATCTCAACTGACAAAATATATTTGCATGTTTACAGACAAAAAAGTTTGCATTATCAATTTTCTTCTATAAATGGCAGAGTAATGAAAAATCTCAAAGATAAAAGCAAATATAATCATAGAAGGATCTGTATGGTACTGGATGGTATCCAGTATTCCACTGAAAAGCTCTATCAGTAATCTTTTTGTCCATTTCGAATTATTTTACAATGTTCTAGTGTGTGGTATTTATTTCTGTAGAAAGATTCCCCCATATTATTCAAAAATGGAACTCTGAAGGTTGGAGGTGAAAGAGAGCCTCTTCCCCGGCCCAAGAAGTGGCCTATTGCTAATATTCTGGCCCCAGGAGCTAATAACATTCCTGATGCATTCATCGTTGGTGGTCCCTATGAAGAGGAGGAAGGAGAACTTAACCGCCCTGAGGTGAGAGGCTGATGTATGTAGGTTTACTTTGGCTTTATATGTGATAAAGCATATTATGAACTATTGTAATTTATGTAGGCCACCTGTCAAAACATTTACATGTCAAAATAAAGTAGTTGTTTATATGTACATCTGATGAAAATGCCTCCCGATATCTTAAAGCCTAGCAGACAAACTAATTTATTTAAATAAAATTTTCTTTTAATTTTAAATGTATTTATTTGTTATATTTTTAATATAATCACAGTTCAGAATAAAATTAAGAAATATGCAGTCAAAGTCCTTCATCTTGCTTTGGCCTGATTCCTTTACACCTATTTACTAAGTCACCTGTGTTACTGGTCTCTTTGAGAAAAGTACAAGGGAGTTAGATTTCAGAAGACAGGCTCATGAAATAAATAACAGATGCTTAAAAGAAACAACAGAATATTGTTGTTAAGTTGGAACTGACTCATAGCTAACCTTTCAGTGGGTTTTCAGAGGTTGTAAATGATAAGAGGAGATTACCCATCTTTCTCTCAGGGAGCAGCTGGTGGATTCAAACAATTCCCCTTTTGGGGTTGGAGTGCAGCTCCTTACCACTAGGCAACCAGAGCTTCCTTAACAGAAACTTACCAAGGGAATATTTGTTATTATTGATTTGGAATTAGGACAGCTAGGAAATTTCTGTTACCTTTTGCTTTATTCAGGACATAAAAGAATTTTTTAAAGCCAATGGCATATAAAATGCCTAATCATAATGAATCAAGTTCAATTTTTGCTTCTTACACACATACAAGTACGTATGTATATACATATACACATTTCCTCCCATCATTTCTTTACACAACAAGTAGCCTGCTTTGTGACTTGTTGGGGTTCCCCCCCTCTACTTTATAATGTATCTTGGAAAAGTTTTCACATCACTGTATCCCCTATTGGTGGACATTTAAGTTGAAATTAAATGTGTTTTTTAATATATACTTGTTTACCAAGTATATAGAAGATAGTGTAAAACATTTGTAAATGCTTATTTGAACTAATAATTGTTAGTAGAAACATTTCATAAAACTTTTTGTGAAGTAAGGATGGTTGAATTCCCCCTCACCCCAGAATTTGTTTTACATTGTTGTGGCAAGAAGTATACACAATAGAACATAACCCCTGATTCAACAGATTCCACACATAAAACTCAGGGATAGAGCTCTGGTGGCCTAGTAGCAAGAAGCTGCACTGCAATCCTGAAGGTGCGCAGTTCGAATCCACCAGTTGCTCAGCTGGAGGAGAGGCAATCTCCTTCTGTGCTAGTTGGATCTGATTTGATGGCATACTACAAGTAAAAAAAAAAAAAAGCTCAGTGACATTGATTACATTCTTTGGGTTCTACAATGATTCTCATCCTTCTTTTCAAAGTAACTCCTCCCATTATCATGAGTATAAAACTTAACTCACTGCTGGCAAGTCCATGATTCTGATGCATAGCAGCCCCTCCACTAAATTTCCTAGGCTTCGAATCTTAAGAGGAGGAGGCTGGATATCTTCCTCCCATGGATTCAGGCCATCGCAGATGCCTGAACATATTGTTACTTGTTAGGTGCCATTGGATTATTTATCAGCACTACACCGTAGTGAACTTCACCACCAGGGCTTTTTAACACTGTCTCTTAAATTTCCTATTTAATAGGAACAGAATTTTTCAAGTTACTGTTACCACTTTGGCCCCAAATAGATACATCGTAAAAGAGCACAATGCTCAAAACAGGCATTTTTTTACTAGTTAAGGTAAGCTATCATTTGGTTTTAGATAATTTCAGGGGATATTTCTGGTTTGAGCTTTAAAAATTTTCAAGATTATTTCAGGCCATCTGAAGTCTTTTCAATATCTGGCTCTAAATATTTCAAATGAGAGGTAAGACCAGTAACATTTGAAAGGTACTGTGCAATATTTTCTCTCATCACTGTATATATTCCATTTAGCCTACATCAGCTGAATCAGTAGATCGCAACCCTGGCTCATTCTTACTCATTGCCATCAACTTGATTTTGACTCTTCTTTCATCAGTTTTCCAGGGCTATAAATCATGTGGAAAAACCCTGCCAATCTTTCCCCTGAGGAGCATCTGGCAGATTCAAACTGCCAGAGAATCTTGACCTGTGAGTTAGCAGCCCAGCTCTCCAAGGACCCTGCCACCAAAACGTCTTCACCCCTCATGACACCTTTCAGTCATCTGTCAAGTTTTTAAAACAATGACAAATTCCAAGATATGTTCCATATAAGTTACATAAACATTTCCTTTAATACTGATGCCCAGTCACTGATTTCCCCCCCCTTCTCCAGAACCTCTCGAATGGTTCTAATAAGTATGTAAGAGTTAAGAATCACTGATTGAGGTTATGTAAGTGAATGTGCAGGACTTAGTCCTCAATTGATGTAAGATTTATATTGATAAAGTATTACAAAGTAAATTCTTAATATAGTTAAGTGCCATAAAATTTAAGGTGTTGAACATAGTTACAATATTGTTGTTGTTATATACAGTTGAGCTAGAACCAACCCATATCTGACCCTCTGTTTGGTTTTTCAGAGTAAATCATACAGGAGGAGATTGCCCCTCTTTCTCCTGAAGAGCAACAGATGGATTTGAACCATGTGCCTTTGCATTAGCAGTGCAACTCCTTACCTCTAAACTAACCAACAGACCAGATATATAGGGTTCCATCTCTGAATTATAGTTTTATATTCTTTGACAGTTGCAGTATTAGTAATAACAGTACTTATAATAGTAGTAGTAATAGTAATGAAATTGGAAGCAGGAGTGGCATCCACTTCCTAAATAACATGCCTCCGGAAACTCTCTGATACATGTCAGTAGTTGTAGAGGGGCTTCAGGCCTGCTAGACCCAAAGGTAATCAACAATAACAAAAACAATAGTAATGAAAAACAGTGTGATCAAATCCATTCTTAAGATGTACTGCAAATTGAGCAGGATCATGCTGTATTTCAGAGGTACCAGAATTTCTCTCTTATTTTATAGGACAGGGAATTCAGAAACCAAGCAGAATGCATAAAAAAAAGGATTGTTTGGGATCTGGAAACTCGATGCTACCTTGATCCTTCTGCAGTGGTCAGGTAAGAAAAGGAAAGAAATAATCTTATCAACAAAGACCATATTGTTACTTGTTAAGTGCCATTGGATTACTTTGGACTCAGCTCTGCGTCACCAAGCAGAACTACCTCACAGGAGTTTTGGCCTGTAATCTGTCTGAAGAGTACCAGTTCTTTCTCTGGTGGAGATGCTTATTTTTGTTGTTATGTGCTGTCGAGTTGACTACGACTCATACTGACCCTATGCACAACAGCTCTAAACCCTGCTCTATTCTTAGCCAATCTCACTGTCTCTGACATACCTACCCTCATTATCCCAATTATTGTGTCAGTCCATTTCATCTGGGGTCTTTTTTTGCTGTACTGTCCCTTGACCCTTCTAAGCATTATATCCTTCTACAAAGATTGGTCCCTCCAGGCATCCTGGCCAAAGTATGTGAGACAGAGCTTCAAAATCCTTGCTTCCAAAGAGCAGCTTGATTTCACCCATTCTAGGACAGACCTGTTTGTTCTCTTGGTAGTCCATGGTATGTTCAAAACTCTTCTCTAGCACCACTACTCAAAGCATCAATTCTTCTTCTGTTATCCTTGATCATTGTTCAGCCCTCTGTTGCATAGTAAGTAGTTGCAAAGACCATGGCCTGTATCAGGCACACCTTAGTCTCTAAACTAACATCATTGCTCTTTAGCACTCTAGCGAGGTCCCTGATAGCATATTTTCCTAATGCAACTTATGTTTTGATTTCCTGACTGCTGGTGCCAAGATTGTGGAGTTGAGCAAGCTGAAGCTGTTAACAATCTCTGCCTCTTCTCCATCTATCACTATGTTACCAATTGGCCCAGTGGTGAGAATCTTTGTTTTCTTGATGTTGAGGTTCAATCCATATTGAAGACTACAGTCCTTGACCCTCTGCAGCAAGCATTTCAGGTCCTCCTCAGTTTCAGCAAGCAAGGTTGTGTCATCTGCATAACATAGGTTGTTGATGAGTCTTGTGTCCAAACTACCAGCCTCTCAGTTAGCAGCCTAGTGCTTAACTATGTGTGCTATTAGGACTCTTGTACAAAGGCCAGAGGTGGGAAGACATAGAATTTTTGCTAATTTAACTGTTGTTGTTGTTGTTGTTGTTGTTATGTGTCATCGAGTCATTTGCGACTCAGCAACCTTATGTAACAAGAACCCTAAACCTTGCTCTATCCTGTGCCAATCTTAATGATTCTGACACACCTAACTTCATTACCCCAGTGATTGAATCAGTCCATCTCATTGAGGGTCCCTCCACCCTCCCAAGCATGATGTCCCTCTCCAAGGAGTGGTTCCTTCTTGTAACATGTCCAAGTATGTCAGATGACGCTTCAGAATACTTGCCTCCAAGGAGCAGCCTGGTTTCACCTTCTCCAGGGTCAACCTCTTTGTTCTTTTAGTAGTCCATGATATATTCAACACTCTTCTCCAGCACCACAGCTAAAAGGCATCAATTCTCTGTCAACTCTGAGAGCATAGCAAGCAATTTCGAAGACTATGGCCTGGATCAGATACACAGTCTCCAGACTGACATCATTGCTCTTTGGTACTCTAGAGAGGTCCCTGAGAGCCAACTTTCCCAGTGGAATTCGTCTCTTGATTTCCTGGCTGCTGGTACCAAGAGTGTTGTTTTTGGAGCCAAGCAAATGAAAACTTAACAGTCTCAATCTCTTTCTTCATCATTCTTGATGCTGCCAGTTGGTCCAGTGGTGAGAATCTTTGTTTTCTTGATGTTGAGCTTCTATCCATATTGAAGGCTGCAGTCCTTGACCTTCTGCAGCAAGCACTTCAGGTCCTCCTCAGTTTCAGCAAGCAGGGTTGTGTCATCTGCATAACGCAGATCGTTTATGAATCTTCCTCCAATCCTGATGTCACAGCCCGCCTCATACAGCCCAGCCTCCCAGATGATCTGTTCTGCATATAGATTAAAAAGTTATGGAGACAGAACACATCCCTGGTGGACACCCTTCCAGATTTTGAACCATGCAGTGTCTCCTTACTCTGTTCTTATGACTGCCTCCTGGTCCAAGTATAGGTTTTGCATTAGCATGATCAAGTGGTCTGGGATTCCCATTCTTCTTAGAGTCAACCACAGTTTGTTATGATCCATACAATCAAATGCCTTTGCAAAATCAATGAAACATAAATAGACATTCCCCTGGTATTCCCTGCTTTCACCTAAGATCCTTCTAACATTAGCTACAGTATCTCTAGTACCACAACCCCTCCCACAGCAATCCTGCACTTCTGGAAGTTCTCTGTTGGTTTGTTTTTTACACCATAAGTCTCATATTTTTTTTAAAACGTGGGTACATAAAAACCACACGTGTTCTATAGGAAGTGATCAGATTGTCACATAATTTAAACTTGATATGGTAGCAGGTCAGTCAACCTCACATATGTGATGCTCCGGATTCAGTATGTGCGCTCCGCCATGCGTGCGACTCCTTAGAGACCCTGCTCAATTCTTCTCCAGTGTCTCCTTGTGGAGTTGCACCTGACTTTATTGTCATCCTTATTCGAATCCACAAAGGAATAGGACAGTTCTCCTTTTGTTTTTTGGCCAGAAACCTCTTGATCCTTAAAGTCTTATGTGAAGACAAAACAGAGCCACACAAAACATGATGGTGGAGGAAAAGAAAGAGGAGGGGAAACTCTTAGGGTACTTTTACAGTGGCATCGGCTCATCTTTGGTTGTACCTTGATTCACAAAGTTGTCTCATCGTCCAACTATAATCCAATGTACCATCACATTCCTGGAAGAAAGAGGGGAGTAGGTGAGGTTTGTTGTTAGGTGCTTTTGACCTTTACTTTGACTGACAGCAACCCAGTGAGCTTTAGATCTGAGTCTTGCCCTGTCTTGCCCCATCCCCAGCATTGCTTGAGACTCAAGTCCATTGTTACAGTCACTGTCTCAGTTTATCTTTTTTGAGAGTTTTCTTCTGACCTTCCACTTTCCCTAGCCTGCTATCTCTTTCCAAGAATTGATCTAGGAAAAAAACCAAAAAGGACTTATGATGGGTGTCTTTCCCAATCTTATGGAATTTTATGGAAACTTTCTGGAAATAGTGCCTGATAATCTGTGTTGTTCCACTCATCTGTCAGTTTTCTCTTACTATGAGTGGCTTGGGCATTGCTATAGTGTTGAAAGCTCTACCACAAATTTGTCAAATACCAGCAGGGTCACCTATGGTGGACACATTTCAGCAGAGCTTTTAGACAAAGAAGCAGGTCTGGTTATCTACTTTGGAAATAGTGGAACCTAGAGAAGCAATGAAATATTGTTCTGTGGAGTGCTGCAGGGTGAGCCCTCAGCCCAGAAGGTACTCAGAATATATCTGGGAAAGCTACCTCCTCAAAGTAGACTTGGATCATTTGCTAATGTGACACAACCAAAAATGAGAAATGGTGGCAAAATTAATTAATAATTGAAATCTAAGAAAATGGAAACGAATCTAGAGAAATAGAAAATTTCCAATAATTTAAAAATTCATTTTGTTGTTGTTGTGTGCCATCAAGTTGACTATGACTCATAGTGATCCTATAAACAACAGATGTGAACTTGGCCCTATCCCATGCCATCCTCATCATCTCCAGTACATTTGAGCCCATTGTTATAGTCATGGTGTAAATGCATCTTGTTGAGGGTCTTCCTCCCCTACTCTGACCTTCTTACCTTTCCAAGCATGAGGTCCTTCTCCAAGGACATACCTAACAACATGCCCAAAATATGAGACAGAGCATCATTATCCTTGCTTCCAAGGAGTGCCCTGGTTGCACTTTATCCAAGACATACTTCGTTGTTCTTTGGGCAGATCATGGGATCTTCAGTATTCTTCTCCAGCACCACAACTCAGAAGCATCGATTCTTCTTTTGTCATATTTATTAAACTTTTTTGTCATCTTCGTCCAAGTTTCAGATATGTAGCAAGTAATTGAAAAGACCATGACTTGGATCAGGCATTCCTTAATCTTTAAACTGATGTCCTTGCTCTTCAGTACCTTGGAAAGTTCCCAGGCAACTGATTTCACCAAGGTGTTATGTCTTTTCATTTCTTGAATGCTGGTCCAATAATAGAATGTTGATTGTGGATATAAGTAAGATGAAATAGTTGATAACTTCAGAATTTTCTCCATCTATTGTGATGTTGCCTATTGGCCCAGTAGATGTGTTACACAACATTTGGCATTTAAACTATTTTTAATATACGGTTTTATTGTTTTTATATTTACCACCTTGTAAAGCAATTAATATTGTCTCATTCCAAAACTTTCCCAGGACTTTTAACAGAGCCTCAATATACTTTAAGCAGCAACTCCTTACCTCCTTGTCCTTTTTGTCCCTGCTACCCACTAAAATACTTGTGTCTCTGTGCATCTGCTTATTATAGCTATTTTTATAAAAAATCATATGGTATTTGTCCTGTGTATCTGATGTATTTAATTTAGCATACTATTTCTAGGATTCATCTATGTCATAAAATGTGATGAAGTTTCATTTCTCTTTATGGCTGAGTAAGGACATCTGGAGCTCTGGTGGCCTAAAGGCAAGAAACTGTGCTGCAATCATGAAGGCATGTGGTTCAAGGCCACCAGCTACTCTGTTGGAGAAGGATGGACAATGTCCTGTTGTGATAAACTGCCTCTAAAAGCCTACTGGAGGTCAGCTATGGTCAGTTCCAACTTTACAGTAAAGAACAACAATGACAAAGACAGGGAGCTCTGGTGGCCCAGTCCATTGGGAGTTGTGCTGCTAACCCAAAGGCAACTGTTTTGGGAACTCCTTTCTGGGAGTTCAAATCTCCCAGCAGCCCTGAATGAGAAAAATGGAAAATCTCCTCCTTGTAATTACAGCCTCTGAAAACAATCTGGTGGTCAAGTCTATTCTGACTTGATGGCAATAAGTTAAGTTATGGCTGAGTAATACTCTATTGAAGGACTGCAGCCTTCAAAATAGATTGAAGCTCAACATCAAGAAAACAAAGATTCTAACCAATGGGCC